TGGTGGGATTCAGCCAGTTCGCACCACTTCGGGAGAACCGGTTGTTAACTTTCTGAGCAGTTTGGTGAACTGGTTGTTGGAAGAAATCATTAGGGCAGAGAACCGGTTGTTAGATTATTTGAATCCCACCTCTGCAAATAAGCAATCAGGAAACAATATCAATATAAATAGCAAAGATACAAGCAACAAAGTTACAGTCATACAGTCATAAGTGGAAGGAGATGGGTGATGGGAACGATGAGAAGATTAATTGTAGTGCAGACTTAGTAAAGTTTAAGGAATACTGAATCTTACCTCAACGTACTACACAGGGCTGTTGTGGAGAAAAATTGGGAATATGTACAGATACTAAACCAGAAGAGATGATATTAAAAAGTGGCACCCATCCTAGTAGAAAACAGGGAAAAGTGACTATTGCAGTTGAGTTGTGATTAAACAGGAGTATGATCTGGAAGCCGGGCCTATGTTTAGTCTAAAACAGTGATTCTCAATCCTGGCAGTTTCCCTTTCCAAAATTCCCCAACCTCTGAAATAGGGCATTACTACAAGTTATGGGTGAAAATTGCTGGCAAATAGATGTAGGCTAAATATATTAAGAATTTTTTTTTTAGCAGCAAAAGACAGGCAGAGTGTGAATATACTACACTGGAATATTTAATTAGTTCAGCCTTTCTGAAATGTGGCACTCTCCAGATGTGGTGAGACTGCAATTCCCTCAATCCGACATTGGAACAGAACACCCGAAAGTCTGGGAGTTTGAAGAAAACTAGAATTCTGCACATTCCAGTACTGCAGAATATGCACTCATCAGAAGATTGGACAAGATGACTGCCAGGAACCCATTTGGGTTAATGATTCTTCTTTTCTCACACTAAATTATAAATTACAGTGATTCCTGCTATTAGAGTTAGCTTGGTTTAGTATAGTGAAGGAAATCTATGGCATGCATGTTGATGTCTCCCAAAACATGTCACAATGTTTTGGGACACACCAACATTCACCAACACCCAACAACTATAGGTAATCCCCAATTTACAACATTAATGGAACCTGCCCATTCATGTCGGAAGTCTGGCTCTACGTTAAATGAAACACCTAATTAAAGACCTCCCTCTCCCTGCTTTCCCCAATGCATTAGTTAAAAAATGCACGGGTCAGGCAGAGTTTGGAGTGATTCAGGGATGGGAGATATCAAGGGAGTGCAGGGACAGGCATTCCCAGGAGGCATTCCCCACCCTCTTAAGATACCTCAGGCTCTGCCTCCTGCCCCTTGGTTTCCACAAAGCCCTATGGGCCTCCTCCATACCCCATCCCATTACCATTTGCTTACTTAACTTTTTGATGAGCTCAAGAAGTCAGCGTAGAGGCCACGTGGTATAATCAAGAAGAAGAAATCAGATTTCTTTTGTTTCCCCTAGCCAGCGTAAATCACTACAATACCTTAGCTCCACCAGCGCTAGTCTGAGGCGGCTTTGCCAGCAAGGAGGGAGGTCCGGAGGGTCACGCATGGCCATCCCAGCCTCCATTGTCACCACCAAGGAGGCCTTTGCCAGCAAGGACAAAGGCCTGGAGGGATGGGCGTGCCCCTGTGGCCTCCATTCTCGATGGCAAAGCGTTCATGCAAATATGGCAAAAGGGTTTGCAAATGGAGGGAAGGCTTCAGTGCTTCAGGTCTTCCGTCCATTTACAAAGCCTTTTGCTGCAAGTTTCATCCAGGCCACGGCGAACGTTGCAGCGGTGGTTCATAAGTGTGAATAACTGCCATGGTGCTGCAAGATTTGTAATTTTGGGACTGTGTCATTTGAGGGTGGTTAGGTCGTAACTTCAAATGGTCACTAAGTGAATGTCGTAACTCAAGGATTTCCTGTATTCTCAAAAGCACATCTAAGTCTTGTGTGATTTTTGGAGGCTGTGGAGGAGAATGGGATGTGCTCTTGCACAGTCTCAGATCCTGCAAACGTGTGAGGGCCATGCTAGTGAGGCCTCCAGAGCTTTTAAAAATGTGAGAACTTGATGTGGTTTCATGTAGTTTTTGGAGGCTGCAGAGGCCACAAAAGAGAATTTGCCAAAGGCACTTCAAAAACAAAGGCCTACTGTGACTTGGAGCAGCCTTTGATAGGTCTATAGGAACCCGTCAATGAAAAGAACACCGCAAAAGAACACTTAAAGGTGAGTAGTGCATAACAGAACCTGAGGATCACTGGGCTACAGAGGTGAATGCTTCTCTCAAAGTTCACACACCTTGGGAAACAATGGGAGATGACCTTTTTGAATGGCAATCAAAATCTCTTAGCTATAAAATTGGGGGGAAGTGGAAAGGGGAATGCAATGAACAGTCCTTAATATCTTAGAGTAAAAGCAGGGTATAAATCTAACCAGTAAAAATATGCATATATTCCCCTGCAGATTCCAGATTTCTTGAATTTAAATTCCCACATTTCCAGGTACTATGTTCTCTGAACCCCAAGGTAAACTAAACTGGGAAAGACTGCAGTGGGCCATAGGAAATGGACTTGAACCCTCTGTATCGATCATGGATTCTTTATTGGGTACAAGAGCATTGCTGTTCCAGTTGTTACTTTTGCAGTGAATTCTCAGTCTGCTTTTTTTCTAGGAGAGAGAGATGTTTACCTCCTATTTCTGAGCATTAATGGACCTAAGCCTCTTTTCTATTACAGTGTTAAATAAGTGTTAAAATCTTGATGCAGAAAAAAATATTATGAGAAGAACTGGCCAGCTGAGTGACCTTGGGCTGGTCACTTCCACCCTAGGAAGCAGCAATGGCAAACCAGCCTGTGAGAATCGGACATGACTGAGCAGAAGAAATTCTTTTTTATTATTAAGAAAAGATTTTACATATATTATTATTATTGTTGTTGTTGTTGTTGTTGTTGTTGTTGTTATTATTATTATTATTATTATTATTATTATTATTAATTTGATTTTTATACCGCCCTTCTCCAACAGGACTCAGGGCGGTGAACAGCCGAGATAAAACATAACATATAAAATTAAAAAAAACAGTTTAAAAGACATTAAATAATTTCGGCCCTCAATTTAAAACAACCCAGTTAAAACCAATTTCAAATTAAAACCGAAAGGATGGGATCAAGCCAACCCGGCTAGATGAAATAGATGTGTTTTCAGAGCCCGATGAAACATATAATTAAACAACTACAAAAAGAAAACAGAAAAAGGTATAGAAGAGTAAAAAAGTGAAAAATAGAAAAAGACTAAGAAAAGGAATAGAAAAATCTAAAGAAGTGATTTCTAATCTTTGCAGCAGTTGCAAGCAAATTTACCATTTCTGCGAATCCAAATTGCATTTCAAGGTTCTCTTTTTCTCATAACTTTTTTTTAAACAGTAAAGCTGACTAAATTGAACCTCAATTTTGATCCCTATCTGCATTGATCTTCAATTTTTTAAAATTAATTCTTTCCTCCAAATTCAGCTATTTTTATTTTATTGGCACTGTCACAGCCGTTGTTAAGGCCGTTATTGAGATATTTCCTATCTCTTCAAACATCATCTGTAAAATCTCACATGTAATCCTAGCAAATTAGTCAGTTAATGACCCTCTTCTCCCTTCTTTCACTGTGTTTCTGGTACACTAGTGGCCATCTTTCTCTATCCTGATTTGTAATTAGGAAGCCTTATTTTTTCAGTAATTCTTCAATATGTGCATTCTTAAAACAATCGATTAAAGTCTTGATGTTTCTATTCTCATATAGCCTCTACACTTTTATAATTATCCCTTTTTTTGTTGTTTAAAAAAGTTCACTTTCTTCAGAGAAATTAAATAAAGCACCCCCATGGAAGTACATGCTATTTATTTAATTCACAGGAACTTGACCTTGGGCCAATCACTCTCAGTCCAACTCACCTCACAGGATGGTTGTTGTTGTGGGGAAAGTAGGATAAATAATAAATGGCAAAGGCGAAAAATAAATGTTTACAAGCAGCAAGTTGATTTGTATAGGTTTTTTTGGCCTCTTCTTTTTCTGCAGGCCATAGGAGCACTCACCAGATGGTCCAATGAAACTGCCATTCTGAAGATCACTTAAACTGTGAGATAGTTGTAATCCAAAGTGTTTAGGAAAGTGGGATTTGGGTGGACCCATTAAAGACTTTCCTGGAACTTAAGCTTTCCTTTCATAGCTCCTAGTACTCTTTACTTACAATGTGCTTGCATATTCCTTTTCGATTCTGCAGGCTTCCTCACAAGGAGCTGAGATCCGGATTTCACCTGGGCATCAGGCAATTTCTTTGGCTTTTCCTTATCCAGAAAAGCTCTGAGGACTGGGCTCACCACCAAGTCAGAGTTCCAGCCTCAGTGTTGTCTCCATGTTTTCAAAGATGTATCAATCTGCCATTTTCCTCACCCAGAAGTCCCATATAAACCAACTATTTTCAAGGATAAGCTTGAGTCAGACTTGAGCTAGGAGTTGCAAGTTTGACTTCACACAAGTTGATTTCACAGGCTTTTTGGTAGAAATTGTGTTTGGTTCTATACAACAGGCTAAACAATATCGCTTGTTTGGCTTTGGCATAGGGATATGGGAGATATAACTACTGTGATTTATTCAGCGATCTATAATTTGGTGCAAAGGCTGAAGCCAAGCTGTGTGACAGAGATTGCTAGGGCCTCTGAAAAGAAGACAAAAGGAAGAAAGCAAGAAACAGCTACCATAGAAGCCCTTTCAGCTGAATTCTTTCCATCTGCCTTGTATAAAAGAGCTAGAATAACATATTTGCAAAATAGTATTTATTATAAATGTTTAAACTGCTTGCAAGCTGCAATTTTATCTTGAAAAGTGAAAGTGCAACTTATTCATAATGCTTTTGTTTTGAATAGGCCACTTTGATGCTCATGCTATGCATTTTTGCTAGAGTCATAATATTATGTGTGCTACCCCCCACCTCAACCTTAAATTTGTTCTACCCCACACCTTAACCTTAATTAATCAATCTTGAAAGGGAGAGGCAAAGGCTAAGAAAGTTACAAAAAAGTCTCATTTATTGTGCTCTGGAGGCTCCAGTGTCTGGACAAGGGTTGGGGGGAGTAACAAAAGAACCCAGCCATCCCTACCTCCAGAGTTCTCCTATCCATGCAGAGAGAAGACTTGGAGATGCTCTGGAGGAGCAAGTTGGCCTATTGGTGCCTGGAAAGTCATGATTTCCCTGAGGTTCCTGGAGTGTCAGGAATGGGAAGACAGAGAAGCCCAATTTCCTCATTGTCAGTCTAAGCCTCTGGTCTCCCTGGTAGTGTACTGGCTTCTCTCACATCAGGCTGCATCTAAAGTATAAAGAAGGAAGATGACTGAGTCCCACAACTTCTCTTGCATCCTCCAAAGTACATGAGATGGCCAAAAGTGCTCAGGTGCACAAATAAAAGTGATAGGTACCATCTTCACTTGTCAATTAGAATGAGAGATTCACCCACACAAATATGCCCAATCCCAACAGCTAAGATTTATTATAACTGAATGTTGCTTGTGGGTGTTGGGAGAAAGGCAAGCCCCTGCCAGTTTCCTATGTAAAGTTTTTAAATATAATTTTGCTATTATTAAGACAATGCTTTCCATCTGAATGAAGCTTTGCCTTCAGACTGGAACACCAATACTAGCCCTGCACCGTCTCTCTGCTTTGCCTACATCCTTTCACATTTTTCTTCTCAAACTTTGCAATTGGTGAAACTTGAATCAGTGAAGGTGTTCCAGATGCAATACTTATGTCTATTGTGGTTGGACAGTCCACAAGCAACATGGGTCCTATTTAGGTGGCTGAGAGAACTGCAGGGAGAGATTCCAGGATCTTGTAAGTGACCCCTAGAGAGAAACTGAGTTAAAACATTTTTTGAAGAACTAAATGAAGTTCTGCAGACACTAACGATAAACACACAGCCCTGGAAGTAGGTGGTTGTTACTGCATATAACATGTCATTCTTTAAAACAAGTGAGAGTGTTCAGATTAATGAAGACTGCAAGGGTAGTAGACTCATGGAGGGGGGGACAGCTGTTCTCACTATATTGAATAGTACACTGTAACTTGCCTATAAAGACAATATGAAATATAACAAATTTCTCTAGAGCACTTAATCCTGTTTGAAGTTGTTCTGTGAGAAAATATCTACCTGATTAAATCTGTTGTGGGCCTCTCTTCTATAACTTAGATATGATTTTTGTCATTGTTTTTCAACTATATTCCCTTTTCATCTTCCCATTTCCAAATGTTTGTACTCGTCCAGTTTGGGATGTTCTATAGGTCAGAAATTCCGCAGATTCTGCAGTAGAGCATTATGGCTCTGCATTTGCAACCAGGCTTGATCTAAAACGGTCTGGTCAACTGCTAAGGTAACTTTTGCAATAGAATTACATTGATTTCTTTGGGGGCATTTTAGAAATATTTGGAAAAAAATGTCATTGTGGTCATCTTTCTCAAACTGAAAGATGAAAGGTAAATTAGTAAAAGAACTAGAAGAGGGGTTTCCAACCTTGGCTACTTTAAGACTTGGGGACTTCAACTCCCAGAATTCTCTAGCCAGCATCGCTCACTGGGGATTTGGGAGAATTCTGAGAGTTGAAGACTCCAGATCTTAAAGTTGACAAGGGTGGACAGGTCTAGAGTACAACTAAGCAATAGATTTTAAGAGTTAATGTGGTTATCAGCTCCTCAAATCCAATTAATTAGGATCATTTTTGTAGACTCTTGAAATCCAACACAGGTGTAATTGAGATTACTAATACATTCAAGTGAGGAAATGTTAGGTAGAATCCTAGTTAGAAGCAGGATTCCAAATTGCCTCAATTTTGTCCAACACATTAAGAAGTATTTGCAGCCCTCCTTAACTTGATCCTTTAGATAATTTGATCGTGATGCCTAGGAGAGGAACTGAAGCCTAATAGCGGAATTTAGAGAAATGTCTTTCTCAGCATCATTTGTGGGGTCATGTTGGTTCTGAGGAACCATGGGGCACTGTAAGAAACATTTTGATCCTCTCATGTTCTTCCCTAGACTTTACATAACATGTCATGGCCTGGTTTTTCCTTTTTCTTTGGAGAAAGCACCCTTGCATTCAAAGAGTTTAGTAAGTCTGCAACAAATTTACTTAAACCAGCCTAAGGAACCCACAAGCCAAACATAGTCAATTCAGTGCAGTAGGCATTTCTGCAGGTCCAATTGCTAATGTTTATCAAAACTCAATGAAAAAGTCAAATGTTCACTAAAATTATAAAATTAATTAATTAAATAAATAAATTATAGGAGGAGCAAATTGCTTAATGATGTGAAATTGCAAGGCATGGGAGGGCAGAAATACATACTTTTTTCCAATGTGATGGCTTCCGGATAAGTTAGAATTTGAACTCCCAGAATTCCCTGAGATTGTATCATACATTGAAAGATTTGTGAAATCTCTGAGAATTCAGGCCCTGCAAGGACACCAGACTGAAAAAAATACAGTGGAACCAAGTTTTGAGAAGTGCAAGATTTTTGGGTAGAAATTCAAGCATACCTGAATTCTATTCAGCTCTTCTTGCCCTTGCTGCAGCCTTTCCATCTCACTCTGAATACTATTCAAAGAGGCTGGAAAGCAAGACAAGAAATCCAGTTTGTGAACGTGCATAAATGGTACAATGGAAATATATGGGCCATGTAGTTTGAGAGCATCTCACCTTGCAAAAGCTCTTTCAGTCAGAAGTAGCGGGAGAAAAGGAAACAAAACGGAGAAGTTGTTAATGCTAAAGAGAATTCCTCTGGCAAGTCTGAAGGTCCAATGACATCCTCATTTCAAGCTTCTAAATATAGAGGAACTGATTTTTTTAAAAATTAGCACTTGCCAATTCTAGAGATTCATTCTTATCTGTACAATCAGGATCGCAATCATTCTTCACTTTCCCCTGCCCACCTCTTTCTTCCCGCTCTCTCTCCAGTGCCCCCTTCAGGCTTGACTGAGATGCTGTTTGTTCATCCAGCTGCTCCCGCAAGGATATAATTTCAATTCGCAGGCGCTCAGCCTGATGCTCTGCAGCCCGAAGTTGTAAGGCAGACTCTTGCCTCAGCTTGGACACCATGGCTTGCAACTCCTGAGAAGGAAAAAGACAGAGAAAAATCTGTTTTATTAAATATGAAATTCAATCCATACAACACTAGCAAACTCACTCCTCAACCTCATAAGCAGAAGTTGGAGTATAGGTACCGGCACTGTGCTGGGCAAGCTCCTAGTTTCATCATCTGTTGGGAGAGAATCCTGGGAACTCATCCCCCGTAGCCCTTCATTCTCGGCATTGAGACGTTGCACTTCGTAGCTGAGGCGTTTGTGGGATGCAGCCAAATCAGCCTGGAAGAGAACCACAAGAGTAGGGAGGGACAGTCAGTAACCAATAACTATCCTTTCACTGATATCTCTAAAAGAGAATTTAAAGGGTTCTACATGAGGGCCTCTGAAAAACATTTATCCAGAACAGCAAGCACAGAAATTATAGTGAGAAAAAGTCTAGAATTGTCAAATCTACAATGGACAAGTTATACAAGCAATTCTCAACTTACTACCATTTGTTTAGCGATCAAAGTTAAAGCAACACTAAATAGTGACTTATGACTGATTTTCACACTTATAATCATTGCAACATCTCCATGATCACATGACTAAAATTTCAGCACTTGACAACTGGCATATATTTATGACAGTTCTACTGTCCTGGGGTCATGTAATCACTTTGTGACAAGCAAAGTCAATGGAGAAGCCAGATTCACTTAACAACCACACAATTCACTTAACTGCAGTGATTCATTTAACAACTGTGGCAATAAGGTCGTAAAATGGTGTATAACTGACAACTACCTTGCTTAGCAATGGAAATGGGCTCAATTGTGATAATAAGTTGAGGACTATGGAAAGGCTGTGTCTATTGCCACATTTGGGGGAAAATATATGTGCCATCTTTTTAGGATAATAATAATAATAATAATAATAATAATAATAATAATAATAATAATAATAATAATAATAATTTTATTTCTATACCGCCCTTCTCCCGAAGGACTCAGGGCGGTGTACAGCCAATTTAAAAACACAAGACGCAACAATGATTAAAAATTAAAATAATTAAATAGATTTGGCCGGTTTAAAACCCCAAAAATTTTAAATACCCCAATTTAAAATTATTATATTGATAGCCCGGCCTGGCGGAACAATAGGGTCTTCAGTGCGCAGCGAAACACCCGGAGGTCGGTGATCTTACGTATTTCCGGGGGCAGTTCATTCCACAGGGTTGGGGCTCCCACAGAGAAGGCCCTCCCCCTGGGTGTCGCCAGCCGACATAACTTGGCTGATGGCACCCTGAGGAGACCCTCTCTGTGGGAGCGGATTGGTCGGTGGGAGGCTATTGGTGGCAGAAGACGGTCTCGAAGGTACCTGGGTCCTATGCCATGGAGCGCTTTAAAGGTGGTAACCAACACCTTGAATCGCACCCGGAAGACCACTGGGAGCCAGTGCAGCTCACGCAGGAGGGGTGTCACGCGGGCACAAGTTGCGCCCATAACCACCCGCGCGGCCGCATTCTGGACCAGTTGGAGCCTTGGAGTGCTCTTCAAGGGGAGCCCCATGTAGAGAGCATTACAATAGTCCAGCCGGGAGGTGACAAGGGCATGAGTGACCGTGCGCAAGGTGTCCCGGTCCAGAAAGGGCTGCAACTGGCGGGTCAGGCGAACCTGATAAAACTATTCAAGACATTTTGTAATATGTAAGACACAAACTCCTCATCCTTAGTAGAAAAACACTGCATGTCTTGGCAACAACTTGTACTTGAAACTCTGAAAAATCAGAAGTGCCTCTTTTGTCCTCAAGTCCCCAGGGGTATATTGTATAGTTGCATCTGGATAAGAGTGCTCTAGTGAGACTCTACTCATCACAGATAGGCAATTCATTCCCTACCTTATTTTCTCAGTCTCTACTGCAGAAGGCCAGGTAGCATTTAAATGAATAAGTCAATAGTCTTGGAACTCCTTCTACCTAAAGTCTGAGTTCGAAAGATCCCAAATTGAATACATCATAGCAGGATCATTTTTCCCAAGCATCTCTTCCAATTCTTCTGCTATCCTTTGCTTCATTCCCAGCACCGTCACCCATCTACCATACTCACCATCTGCTCTTGAGTCTTCCGCTGGGTCTCACTCACGGTGGCTTGGAGGCTTTGGAGAATGTTCTCTGATGTCTGGATCTGAGTCAAAAGAACCTGAACCTACTCAGAAAAATTGAGAAAGGGAGACTGGCTTGTGGAAAGTTGACATTCTGTGCACAGAATGCACAGTGGTTAAGACTTTGCTCTGCAAGTGAAATGTGCCAGGTTAAAATCACCAAATTGCCTATGGATTTCATGTTATCTTTAGCAAGTCTGTGACTAAGTCTGCAGAATGCAATATGCTGTACTGTGGTTGCTTGATTTTGGCTTAACATTTGGTGTAAACTCAGCCTTACAGACTATAATTTATGGCTTAGGGACTACATCCACCCAGTACCTTATCTCTTAGCTTAATGTTTAAATATCTATGCAGGCTGGTGCGAATAGTATCTCAAGGAATACTCCTGCAGTATATGCATCTACCTAGAAATCTACATTATCCTTGAGAGATTTTTACCCACAAACCTCAGATGAATGAAGTCTTGGGTCTCCTCGGTTGCGAGACATCAGCCTACCACCCACAATTATTTTTCAAATACCAGGCAGACCCTTTTGTCTTCTCATAAATAGACTCTGAATATTTATTTTTAACTACACTATTGATAAGAGTTCCAGAAAGTGAAAACATCTGAAAGAATTTGTCCTGCATATTGATCATGTCTGGTTAGTACTTGGGAGACTTCCAGAAAATTTAAGGAATGATAAGCCAATCTAGGAAATAAAACATTCTAGTAGAAGCAATGGCAAACTATTTCTACATGGATGTTTCTATGAAGTTACTAATGTTTGTTAATATATTTAAATTTTAATAGTTGGGACAGTGAAGAATTGGGCAATGAGTAAAAACACAGTTATAGCTAATTGGTTAAAGAGAGCTGGCCACCGCATGAGGGAATCTCAGCTGTGATTGGTTGATGTGAGCAAAGGGGGAGTTTCCTCATTTTCCGCCTTTTTTGCCCTGTGATTTACCTCATGATGTTCCCTCTGTATCGATTTACCTGACTATGCTCCTATTTGCCTTTCTTATTTACTGTAAATATATTTATTTATATAAAACCACAAATTTTTGTCAGCATCTCTAACTCCATTTGGACACCAGCTGCGCAATTCCCTGACAGTTTTTTTTTTAATATAGGTTCATTTGGTATCAATCCTCATTAATATTTAGTATTTTATTATGTCTTATTTGCATATGCTTTATGGATACATGGATTTAATCCTGTATTCCACCTCAAGGTCCTTAGAGGAAGGACAGATATCCAGTTTAACATTAGAACAAGCGTGAGTTCCAAGACATGGCGTTTACCTGCTTACTGCACTCTTCGTTGCTACGTCTCAATGCCTCCTCCAAGTTAGCTTTCTCCTTTGCTCGTTCCTCCAGAGCTCCATGTTGTTGTTGCACCTGAGGAGGCCGCCAAGGATATAGGGAATGGGGAAAGGAAGCCTTTAGCTTCATATCTCTCATTTCTCAAAATTCTTGTACCATGGTTCTCATTTAACATTTGTTCAGTGACCATTTGAATTTGCCAAGTGGTATTTATGACTGGTCCTTAAAGCTCCAGCTGTTGCAGCACCCATGCAGTCACAAGATTGCAATCTAGGCACTCAGCAATCAGCCTGGATTTCTAATTGTTGCAGCATCCTGCAATCACGTAACTGAAATTTGTGGCCTTCCTTGCTGGCTTTCCACAAGCAAAGTCCACAGGGGAAGCTGGCAAGAAGTCAGAAGTCACAAACACATGAGGTCCTTGCTTAACGACCCACACAGTTCTCACTTCACAATGATTGGGAACTTCCAGAATTGCCGTTGCTAAGCAGCAGTCATATGATGTCACATTTTATAATTGCATCACTTACAAATGATAATTCCAGTCCCAATTACTCTTGTGAAGCAAGGATTACCTGTATTTCTCACTATGATAATCAGAATTATCTTATTATTCCTGTGACGATTTATCCCTCTGGGAGTTACAAAGTTGATGACAGTCTATGAAAAAATTGTCAGCTAGCTGTAACGTCCTCCAAAATACTTTCCAAAGCAACTAAAAATTCTTGTTAAGACAATAACTGTGAACAATCAAAGTACAAAGGCAGCATAGAGAAGCCAACCCTACAACTGATTATATAGAATCATTATCAAGTAAAACCGTCCCCAACCCACATATCTTCCACCAAGGAGCCTGACAATTCTCTTATGTACTATGTGCCAGAAATTACAATGTGATAGAACCAAGCAGCCTCAATCAGCAAGATGTTTTCGGGGGGAGGGAGGTGTAGAATGAAAAATATATAAAGGCTACTTGCCCTTTTCATATTCCTATAATACAGGGAGACAATCTTGTACTTCTACAGCACCCCCTCCTCTAAAGCAAGCAGGGCTGAAATTTATGGAGTTCTCTTAATGTATTTGGGGAAGGAAGACAATGAGTGCTTTCAGACTATGCAGTTATATAAAAGTTTAAAGAATTTTGTTTAGGGCAATATTTCACTTAACAATCACCCCCTTCAAAAGGAAGTTGCAAGAAAAGGATTCAGGTAGTCTTCACTTAATGGTCCTAATTGGGACTGCAATCCCAATTGGTCATTAGAAGTGGTCATTAGGTAAAACATATAACTACACTGGTTAGCAATGGCAATTTCAATTGTCCTGGTTGTGGTCATTAGGTCATGCTATTCTTAGGCAAAGACCTCACATTTTTCCTGACCTAACACATTTGCCTCTGTGCCTTGTTCAACTTTCCCTCACTTGCCTATGCCCCCACTCCCCCAGATCTTTGCCTTTTTGGAAGCCCTGTGCTTCACTCCTTGCTTTCTTCTTCCTCCTGCTGCTGACAAGGGACGTTGGCCCTGACCCTTTGTGAGGTAGATGCTGAAGCCTTCCATGGCAGCACCCTTTTGAATTTTCAATATTTATGCATAAAGATGACCTGACAGACGATCTATTCTCCACAAACGTTCTAAAACTAGATTTTAAAAACCGTTTAAATAAAGGAGTCAAAAACATTTTTATACTTTTGCCATGCACCAATGTGTAGCTCTTTCAATAAAGAAATAATTTTTCAATAAATAAATGAACAGATATAATGTTTTCACTCAATTGGGTTCACTTTATCTAGTTTTAGGACTTCTGTGAAGAATAGATTACATTTTAGGTCATGTCTATGCAGAAATGTTGGAAATTCCCAAAGATTCACAAATTTTTAAGCACCACGGTATATAGTTGAGAGTTGCTCTAAACATTTTTATAATACTCCCAAATTCTTCCAACATCAGTTTAGGGTGCTTAATTTCATAGTGCCACAAAAAAAGGTATAGCAAAAGTGGGGAGAAAGAAGACCATCAGAAAACAGCATGAATGATCAGAAGCAACAGAAGTAGGTAAATAAAAAGCAAGTTTATGGAGTCTTAAGTGGAAGCATTTGAAAGTAATTTGGAACATAATATTCTTTCTGTATAAAAGAAGTTACTATCTTGGATGGCTATATCCTGAAAGACAGCACAAAAAGCACCTTAAATGAATACACAGAAATATTTCTAACAATAAACTACCTTGGTCTTCCACACACAAACCTGTTCTTGGAGCTGAGCCCACTCTGATTCAGACACAAGCTGGTATCCCACTGGTGGTAAATAAATAGTCTCAGGTACCAGGGTTCCAGTTGAGGAGGCAATGGAACATGTCTCAGGACTTGGGGGACGTCTGCGTCGGACAGAAGGCCCAGAACTTGGTGCCAAAGAGGAAAATGAAGCAATGGAGATGCTGTCCAGACTACAGGCAAACTTCTCTGCTACTCCTCCTTCCATCAAAGGAACCTGGTGACTTCCAGGCAAATCCGTGGACACAGTCTCAGGGTCAGCAAGAAGGGATTCTGCTGAGCTACATAAGGAATGCTGAAAATAAAAATATGGGAGTTAAAAAAGAATTTCAAGTGGCTCAGATTGGGTACTGCATTTATAGCTGGGGCTCTCATTATTTTTAGGACCATTTATTTCAAGTTCAGGACAGATCATCATAGAGAAAATCTATACGATCACTAGGAGCTGAAAAAGATTTGATGGCACAATTAGTTTCATGTAGTGTTTGCCCAATCTGCATAACCTGAGGAAATAACGCACTGGGTACCCATACTAAAAGAAATCAGAAAGGAAGCTGGGACCCAGAGATTAACTTTCTCAGTAATGCAGCTCTCCCTCTGGAGCACCCTGCCCTGCAAGTTAGATGTGGCTCTGAACTGATAGATCAGAAGATTGTCAAAAGCATCTCACTTTAAGAAAGACTCAGATTCATTTGACAGTAGTCGCTGGTTTATTTATAGTTTTTAATCAGTTCTGTGGTTGTTTAGTGGGTTTACAAATGGATTTTATATTTTATTTCATGTGTTGTGAACTGCCTAGAATCAGAAAAACAGGAAACACATGCCTTTTGATAAACAAAAAAAATGTCTATAACTCGGCATAAAGAACTTTCCCTGAACTTTCCATCATTAATGGAAGACTTATAAATTACCAGAAGTTAAACATTTGTTCTCCCACTTTTATATGCTGCACTGCCGAGTTTTAATTGCGCATAAATGTGCTTAAATAAACATTTTTTTTCCACTAGTGATTTATCTACAACTTTCCCAGGCTTTTAATCATCCTGTAAAATTTATTTTGTCCTCACGTCATTCATTTTCTGGCCCAGTCACACATCTCTGTCTTTCTTGCCACTCTATATTCTTTTTAGAGATCTACCTGCACCATCCACTTAGGCTTAGAGTTGCAGACTAACATTTCTGGTATTACATGCACAAAGGCTTGGCATCTATTCTGAGATAGCCATCAGTTTCAGATATATTTTGTAAGATATTTTATCCTTCCTCCTCCTTTTCTCAGTTTTTTTACCCTATTAAGCAGCTTTCACTCATCTGTTCCAATATTTACCTTTTCTTCTGTCCCTCTTTTCCATCTCACCTCCTCACTCTGCAGCTCCTGAACTAGACTCTCAGCATGGGCCAGTTTTGCTTTCAGTTCAGCAATTTCCTGCTCCATCGGCAGAACAATGGCCCGGAGTCGCTGAGTATCCTCTTGTGCCTGCAGAGAGAGACAGACATAGGGTTTTGGTTTTTTTTTCCTGCCCACTGGAAACTCAGCTTAGCCCTCAAAGAGAGATTCTGGTTGAGTGCATTGCTTACTTTTTCCATCTGTTTCTCCAACGAGTCCAGAGGGTTGGTCCTTGGCAGCCTGCTCCAAACGTTTTCTCGGCTGTCACGCTGGAAAGCTGATAGACGGGCTTCATAGCTGGAAATGGTATCTAGAAAGGAAATAAAACTTTTGAGCTGCCACCTCCAAGGCAAGATCCGATCAGGTCTGGAGGGAATGGCTTAAAGCACTTGAGCAAAACAACCCCAGCTCCTTCCCCACCCACCACGACCTGCACTCCTTCACCTTTCAAGATAGTCTGCAAGGAAGCCACCTCTTCCTGGCACCGGCGCTGGACAGCCTCCACCGCCTCCTGCTTGGTGCCTTCACTCACTGCAGCCACAGCTCGGACTGTCTCCACTTCGGCCAAGGCGGCTGCCAACTGAGCTTGCAGGCTTTGGATGGTCTCTTCAGGCTCGGGGTCCCCAGAAGGATTCGGGGCGCGGGACACGCCCACATCCTGCACCCTCTGAGGCTCTTGAAAGAAAAACAGGGACCGATGAATGACAAACGGAGCTAGACTGGAACCCAGAACTGGCCGCCCCTGCCCCCCCCCCCGCCCCGCCGCCGGTCTATCACACCGCTCAGCCAATAAACTTTGTAAGCTCTGGACCCGATTTAAACATCCCAGCCGCGACCTTTGACCTTGCTCAGTCTGAGTGACGCCAGCAGGATCTCCTCTCTAGCAAGCCCCGTAGCCGCGGGGGGGCGTGGCTTCGCACTTGGTCGCCAGCCCACCGTGGGGAGGGGAGGGGGCGTCCGCGCGTACCTTCCATTCCGCCAAGACTTTTCTAACTACTGCTCCGGCGGTGGCGGTGCGGCAGCTGCTGCTTCCCCGGAGACCGAGCGAGGCCGGAATTCCCCGAGAGGAACCGGAAATAGCCGAAGGAATTCGGAAATGGTCGAGAGAGAGAGAGAGAGAGAGAGAGAAAAAAACATGAATGTGCCGAAGATGGCCGAACGATCGACACACCGCGGCTCCTCTGTTTAAGGTTGGCTCTTTGCGGGACTCCCCGAGACTTCTCGACCGTTTCCGAAGAGAACCGAAGGGAAATGGCATATGTAAACGAGGAGGAACGGAGTTTGTCGAAGCGGTGTTTTTGCATATCTTGGCATTGTTTTTGAAGTTGGGCCTGAGAATTCAAAGAAGTCGTTTAATGGAAAGTTCAATCGTCGGATTGGAAACCTGTTTTTTCACTAAAAAAAAAAAGCCACCTTCCGGAACCGAACAGATTTATTTATCCACTATTTTTAAACCTCAGCAACTTTAAAATGCAAGATTGGACATTGATTGCAGTAAACCTTCCTATTCCGAATGGAAGTCCATGCATCTTTTTTTTTTTAAATGTTATCTAATTCTGGGTTTTATTTAATTGACCAAACTAAGTAATAATTTTAATTAGCAATTTTATGATGTTTGTGTGTCTATATTTTTCTTGACTGTACACCGCCTTGAGTCCTACGGGAGAAAGGCGGTATAGAAATATAATAAATAAATAAATAAATAAATAAATCTTAAAGTTGCTGAGGTTGAGATACACTGATACAATCTTTGGTAAATGTCTCACGTTGGATACAGTAGTGCAAGTATAGCCTAGACTGGGTGTAATTTTACAAACTTTTCAAAGGCAAGCCAGTTCATCTTCTGAACTGAATGGCTGTTTCTTACCTTGAGTAAGTAAATTGAGTAATTTCTTACCTTGAGAGGAAAAAAAACCCCTCTTGATTGTGGGGCAGATGCCCTTTTTTGCCTTCTCATTTATTGCTGTCTCCAGGGAAACATCTGCAGGTAGTTATAGCTGCAAAATCTCTATTAGACATGGCAAAAATTAAAAACAAATATGTTGTTTATCCCCAAATCTCTTTTGGGATAAACAACATTATGCAAAGTGAAGAAAGGAACAAGAAATAGCATGCCTGAGAAATTAGAGGCATGAAACAAGAAAAGTTAGAAATATAACCAAATCTGGTTTACACCAACACCATTCACCATTCCTTTCTGTCGTAAAGCAAAGCAAGTTCATGCACTTATACATATATATCCTTCTTGTTCCTTAAACTTTATTGCTATCTTTCTGAAGAACATATTAACTCCATCAACTTTCTCAGTTTTCTCCCAATTGTTGTTCTGTAATATATGAACTCTTCAGTCTTAATGTGTTCTTTTTTGTTTTTCCACTCAAATTTAAGGACCCCATTTGCATTCAACTTTTATGCACATCTTAAATTTTCCCATCTACTTGCTGTATTTTTTACCATTTCTACCTAAATTGCTATCTTTCATTGTGTGTTCTCTGCCAAAGATATCTAGTAATATTTAATAGGTTAGCAACTCTATTTGGCTCCTCACAAATTCCAAACCCAATGAATTCTTTCTCAGTTTCGGGAGGAAAGTTTTAAGGGGCCAAAATCACCCCATAATCTTAATCCACAATTGAAGGAAACAATCCCTGCAAATCAAACAAATTTGACAACCTACGCCTTATTGAATAAGTCATGATTGGATGGATTCATGAAACTGGCTGATCCATAATGTCATAGTTAATAAACTCTATGAACTAAGTTTGACATGTTAATTCACAAACAAGCATGCTAAATTATATTTGGCTTATTGTTGTATGTGAACTAATCTTCAGTAGTGACTGGAGGCTTTTTTCCAAAGAGAACAAAGTTTACATAGTAAAAATAGATTGTCATCTGACTAGTTATAAAAACAAAGTTTAGATCATGTCTGCTTCTCAGTTTCAAGTCTGCTGTCTTTCATCAAGATAATAATTAGTAAAACAAGGTGATATTACCAAGCAGCTGGCCTACCCATGAATGCTAAACACTATAAATAATAAAAAACACAACTATTATTCATGCTATAAATAATAAAAGGAAATCTCTAAGCTGAATGGAGACAGCAGACTAAAAGGTATTCTTTGTTTTGGATACCAGGCAATTTAGCACTAGTCCTGATTGTGTAAACACCAATAAGTATCTGGAAACCATCTACACTTGTCTGGAACTGTAGTTTCCATCTGAAATCAAGGTAGGCAGGATTTCCCAAATTTGGCAACTTTTGAGGTGCATGGACTTCAATTCCCAGAATTCCTGCTGGCCGGGGAATTCTGGGAATTGAAGTCCACGCATCTCAAAGTTGCCAAATTTGGGAAATCCTGAGGTAGAGGCAGAATGATGAAGCACCCCTCTGGATTGGGGTAACAAAAGATCAAGATTCCAATTGTACAGTAAAAGTCCCATTATAGCAAGTAAAAAGGGGCAGGCTATAATTGTACAGTTGGGGCCACCATTTTGATTTCTTTGATACTCCCACCTGTGATCCTCAGTAAAGAATTTATATTCTGCATACTTTCATTATCCAGCATGCATTATCCAGCATGTATGCCATGAAGACATTTTCAGCTTTTTGGCAGGTACTTGTTATAACTGCAAAACCCTTTAGGAAATAAGTTTTTTAAAAACTTTCTGACAAGATTACCATAATTCTTTTTTAAAACATCCTTTTACATACAAAGATTAACCAAATTTCCCTTGAAAATTCACACAGGAGTTGAAGAAAAGAAGCCTTTCCTGCTCTGCGTGTCTCAATGCAACACAGAATCTGTGATATACTACTGCTGAACATGGAAGTTTTATTTTCACCATCCTGATTATTAACCCTTGTCATTCTCTTCTGGATTTGACTAATCCTTTCTGAAAGCTATCAGAGAGTGCATCATTTGTAACAGTGATTTTGAAATAGTAAGTATATATTGAATCACCTGTTTCCATCTTTCTTAAATACAAGTAGCATTTGACTTAGAATAGTCCATTTAGTAACAGTTGCACGGTCTCAGAGTCGTGATCACCTTTTGTCACCTGACAAGCAAAAGCCAATGGAGATGCCAGATTCACTTAACAACCATGTTACTAACTTAACAACTGTAGCAATTCACTTAACAACCGTGGCAAGAAAGGTCATAAAATGGGACAAAATTCACTTAAAAACTGTCTTGCTTAGCAACAGAAATTTTAGGTTCAATTATGGTCATAAGATTATGATCATAATTATGGTCATAAGAGGATTACTTGTATGGTGTCAGCCCACTTCACTGAGTAATTTTAAATTCTTATATTATGAAAGAGAAAAACCTTATATTTTCTCTGTATTGTTGTATATGGTACACTTTTTAGATATAATCATTTGATATATGGAAACAACCTCCCTTAAATCCAAGGGAGATTACTTCTGAGTAAAATTGCCTTCAGGATTATTTATTTGCATGCTTTTTGCTCGTCGTGCTTCAAGAATTAAATTAAAATGATGTTGCAAATCAGACTGGGCAATATGTGGTTTCTAAGATTATGCTAAAGCAGGGTGGATAAAAATCAATGATTTTTTTTAAAAAATCAAAAAAATCAGATTTTTTTGATTTAAATCGGATTTTTTTGATTTAAATCGGATTTTTTTGATTTTTATTGAATTTATTTTAATAAAAAACTTTGGGGGTAAAAATCTATCTTAAGATAGTTTTCTATTTAAGATACATAAATAATTTAGTTTATTCAGGATGAAATGGAGCTTAGTTATGTAGCATGAGTCTGTATATTCTGCAACACTGGGACTATCGGTGAGTCAACAGTGGGTCAAAAGAGTAGAAGAGATGACAGTTGCTCTTTAAAAATTATGATTTAAATCGAGTTGATTTAAATCAAGCCTTTTTACTAGTGATTTAAATCATGATTTAAATTGTGATTTAAATCAACTCGATTTAAATCAAATCCACCCTGTGCTAAAGTACAGCTTCCACCATCTCTTACTCTTAGTCTTGCTACCTAAGGCTTCTAGAGTTTATGGAGGGCTACTTGCTGCTACATATTCCTGCTGAGAGACTTGGTGAAGAAAGCCCTCACAGCTCACAGAGCACTGATGAGGCTGTGCAGAGAGCCACACAGATGACTTTGGAGAAATTATGCAGAAATGTTACAAAATCATGTTGTAAATAAACAAAGAAAAGGTTAAGATGAAACCTAGGCTGGCTCTGTTCTAGTTCTAGTTCTGTGGGACATAAGAAGAAAAGAAGGAAAAGCACAGTCAACCCATTAAGATTCTGTTACTGTAGTCTGTATCAATATGTACCATTTCTGTCAATTTTGTGTAGTTTGTTTCTGGTCTAGACTACCTCAGAGATCTCACATAGGACATCAAACCCTGCCAGCGTTTTTCCTTCTCTCTCTATTTTATGCCCCAAGAAATTAAGGTAGGGTTTGTCTTCTTCTTAATGCCTTGATTCCTTGATTTAAGGTATGTTTTTAAACATGTTATTGTAATCATTTGTGTAGTGAAATTTTGCTTTGCATCTTGGAAAAACCATCTGGATTTAACCAACCCCATTATGGACCACACTGATCTGAATTCACACTGGCCATGATAGATGTGCAGATGCCCTCCATAAGTGGGGTAAAAATAACATCATCAAACTGTGGGGCTGAAAAATAAATTATCCAACATATACCATATTTTTCACACTATAAGATGCTCAGGAGCATAAGACACACCTAGCTTTTGGAGAGGAAAAGAAGAAAACAAAATCTGCCTCTGCTTTTGCCTTCCAGCAATTTGCCTCTGTGCAGCAACAGCAAACAGCCTGGTCAGCTTCAGCACAGCCTGATTTAGCACAAGTAGCTGATTGGCTTCGATCAGCCTCCCAGAATACCGCCAATCAGCTGTTCCAGGCTGCAGGGATTGCTGCCACTGTGGCCACCTATTGCTGCCTCTGTGTGCTCCATTTTTGGCCTCTGCACCAGTGGTGGGTTACCCCCGCACTGGTTCTATAGAACCGGTAGTAAAACTGGAGGGAGGCTGCGCCCACTGACCC